ACACACACACACACACAAACACACACACACACACACACACACACACACATACACACGTTTACGTCTATCTAAATGGGGACATTCCATAGGCGTAATGGTTTTTATACTGTACAAACTGTATTTTCTATCGCCCTACACCTAAACCTACCCCTTACAGGAAACTTTCTGCATTTTTACAATTTAAAAAAAACTTTGTTTACTTTATTTTTATACCAGTTTTACAAATGAGTATGTCCCCAAAGGGAGGTTTTTGGAGATTTTGTCAGGTTTAGCTCACTTTTGGGGACAAATTTGTCCCCAAAATATAGTTAAGTAGGTACACACACACACACAAAACCAACCTTGAAAATAGAGTCTATGTTCTTCTTTGCTGTATGTGATTCCGGTCCTTTATGTTTTTTGCTGTAGTTAAACAAATATTGAATATTTTTGTAAACATGTATTAATGTATTTAATGCACATCGGAAAATTAATGAATATCATATATATTTCTTATACTGTAAACTAAACAACACCTCAGATCAGCATATGATTCTTCCAAACTGAATTTAAGTGGAGAATCCATTGACTGGTCACTCTTCATGGACACACAGCTGGGTTCAGGAGATTCATTCTGCCAGAGACTGAAATATAACAGCAATACAAACTGTTTATGAAAATCTCACACTGCTCTGACAGGAACACTTTCACTGTTTCAACCTCCCTTTAATGTTCATCTTTCACTTGAGGAGTCTGTTGTTGCTTGAGAGTTAAAAGATTAAAGTATTCTTTTTCTATAAATAAAAGGAATCTATGATTGGGATGCCTGGTTACAATATCCATAACGCATCACACCTACAGTATATACGACACTCGTAATATCTGACCTGAACTCAACAGAAAAGTCTTCCTCTCTGCAGAGATCTGAAAGATCCACTGGTTGGATTTTCCTTACAGACACATCGATGTGTTCAGGTAAATCTGATTCACACCCCTGAATCAGACTATAAATGAAAATGCTATTGTAGTGTGCATTTATTGTTTCTAAACATTAAAGGGGTCATCGGATGCAAAATGCACTTTTACATGTTGTTTGAACATAAATGTGTGTTGGCAGTGTGTGTACACAACCACCATAATGATATTATATTATTTTTTTTATAATCTCCTAAAATCATTACCTCTTTCTCATATCAAGCTGTTTTCGGATTCCTGCCAGTGTGACGTCACACAGTCCCAGGCCCCTCCCACAATAGTTGATTGACACTGGTGTGAGACCCGCCCTGAGTGAGCTGTAGACAGTCCGCCATTGTTTCGATGCCGGAGCAGGAGTAGACAAGAATGGCTCCTAAGTGATTGAGGTGTTTTGTTGTTGGATGTAATAATGAACACAGCAGTCGTCATTTGCTCCCGACATCTGAGCCGCTGAAGACGCAGTGGATTACTTTTGTTTTTGAAGGGAATGCACCCCCGATCTACCTAAATACATCTATCTTCGCGTGATCATTCGTGATCCAGCTTCACCTACAGAAGTGAGTATAAGGTTTTTTATGAATCTTTGCAAATCGTCTTTCCTAATAATGTGCTAGTCAGCAAGTTCCACGGCTAAATGTGGCTAAAGTAAACAGTCTCTCAGAGAACGGCTCGGAAGAGAGGGGCGGGGTGAGCAGAGCTCATTAGCATTTAAAGTGACATGCAACAAAATGGCTTGCTCTGAAACAAGTGTGCCGCACTAGTCCTTAAAAGTGAAGCCATCGTCTAATCTAATGGGAAGTGAGACAAACTAAATTATTAAATTTCACTTCAAAAAATTTTTTTCAAAGATGGTTTTTGTCATTTGATGTAGATTTTATCACGCTGATGTAAGTTAAGTGTTCGTTTTATTAAAGGGGTCATATGATGCTACTAAAAAGAACATTATTTTGTGTATTTGGTGTAATGAAATGTGTTTATGCGGTTTAAGGTTAAAAAAACATTATTTTCCACATACTGTACATTATTGGTTCTCTTCTGTGCCCTTTCTGAAATGCGTAGATTTTTACAAAGCTCATCAGTCTGAAAAGCGAGGTGTGCTCTGATTGACCACCTATCCAGTGCGTTGTGATTGGCCGAATACCTCAAGCATGTGACGGAAATGTTACGCCCCTTACCATATTGTGATGCCTTGTCCCGGCCGGAGCGACGAGCTCAAAACTACACTGCTCAAAACTAGCGTTTGAATCATCAGTGGCAAATTCTTTAAATATAAAAAACGTACTTACAGTCTGTGAGTCAGAACAGCCGGCATTGTAGTCTACTCTACCAGGATCAGGAAACAGTCCTCCATAAAATACGCTGGACACATCGGAATATTTGGGTCGAACTTTTCTGGAACAGTGTTGTAAATACAACTTAACCACTGATTTCTAGTCATGTCCATTTTTGGAAGGCCAAACAAAGTAGTTGTAGTAGTCACAACGAAACACAGCGTCACACACGGCAGGTTATGCAAATCTTCCGAGATCGTGACGTAGGTATGTGGGGGTGTGTTAGAACGAGCCGTTTTAGGTAGGCGTGGTTGACTCTTAACTTTTATAAAGAATATCTCTTTGGATTTGAGACTGTAGTCTTTTCAACTTTACAGATCTTCTTTATGCACCAAGAGCTTGTAACACTCCAAAGAGAAAGGAAAAATTGAAATCGCATCATATGACCCCTTTAAATAAGTTTGGTTTTAGTTAGTTAAGTGATGCTATAAAAACAGGAGTGTGATGTCATGATTGACAGCTGAGACTGACAGCTTCTCTGAGTGAACTGAAGCGCAAACTGACTTTTTTAGGATCTTCATGAAGAGATTGGAGTTGTATTTACCTTATTTTAATACAAGCCTCTTATACGGCAATCAGCAGAGAAAAATTGGAGCAGTCAGGCTAATTTAAAAAAGGGTCAGGAGCGTGTACTTGCGATCGATTCTGCGGAAGTGTGGGTGGGACTTCGCTCTCTACTGCACAGACTCGGGTCCCGTGTTCGCTACTGCGCAGACTCTGGTCCCAAATAAGCGCAATATGGCCACGCCCTATTGGGACAATTGCGGCTTCACTTTTCTTCCATGGAAGTGAGTGAAGGTGCGTCGCCCATCTTTTTTACAGTCTATGCTCTGAAAAGAGCTGTTTTTTTGGCAAGGTAAAAACGGTTTTACACTACCATTAGGAAATTTTAACCAAAGTATGTTATAGACTTTTCATTAAGATCCTAAAGAATCATAACAACTTGTGGAAAATGGGCATCTGATGTCCCCTTTAAAAATGTGAAACATTTCAGGTTTTCTCACCTCTTGACTGTCTTTTTCTGTGTGTCATCTTCTTCAGAGAGATTCATTCTGGAGGCCATGGTTTCATCTAAAAGCAGATACAGATGTTGGTCCACAGAGTGAATCATCTTAGTTAATTTTCTCAAATCCACCTTGTAGCAACTCATAAAGTAATAACTGCACATAATGTAAAAACTGCACATAATGTAATAAGTATTACATTATTATTGTAATAAAATGTTCATAATGTAATATTTTTCTCAAAATGTTACATATACATAATTACATTATAAACTGACCAAAAATATTGTAATATTGTCATAATTATATAATTATACTTATAATAAAGTATAAGCAGCCTAGTATAATTATGATAAATTTATTACATTATTAACTGACCAAAAATATTGTAATATTGTCATAATTATACTTATAATAAAGTATAAGCAGCCCAGTATAAGGGACAGTAAAAATATTTGTGCTGTTGTTTAGCCTATGTGTATAATATACAGTATATATATATACACAAATTATTAAAAATTATTTCTTTTTATAATTAATTTGTACATGAATGGATTAAGCAAAGTAAATATGTTCACGTCTTAACATGTTGAATCGGCGTCGGGGCTGATTCAACATCTCTGATTGGATGTTCAGTTTAGCGAACGAGTCAGTGCCCGAGAA